TTGTGCGCGCTCATGAAGCACGTGACCATGTTCAGCGAAGACATCTTCGCCGGAGTCTAGCCTGTGTGGTGATACAGAGTTTTTTTGGTATGCTGGGTTCCGATTACAATATGATTAACCTACAAGTAATTGGGGTTACTGAACAGCCTAGGATTAATCTCCCTCATCTTCATCATCGATGGAGCGCGGCCGATCATCGAGAACTTCACGGAAAGCAGGCTGACGTTGACGAACTGCATGTTTGAAGCTCTTTTGTTCATTTGGACATTTGGCTTGGCGACATACTTGTCCAGCTTCCGCCGAAGCCCTTGGACTTTCCGTTTCGTTCGCAACTTTGCGGCCAATTTCGCTGTGACCATCGCCTTGGTGAGTGGCTCTGCGCTGGCCGCCATCTACTCCAACGACACAGGCCTCAGGATGTTGCAGGTGGACGCGGACTTCTCGCCAAACCTGAGCTTGTCCGATGGCAGCAAGCGGCCGTGGATCATTAATCCCGCCGGCATGGACCGCCCCTTCCCAGCTTGGGGCATTGCTTATGCGATCCTCCCGGCGACTGGATAAGAGGGCATGTTTTGGTCTTTCGTAGGTTGATGCTGTAAGGTTGTAAGGGGAACAAAATCGTAACTGGTGTCAAGCACAATCCAGGCGATTGGCTTCGCAGTTCTGGGTTACCTGGATCAAAATCTCACTTCTGTGATCGTGAACAGACCGTCTAACAATCTGAAGAAGCCTGCTGCTTATCACCTCGACTTGCCGCTTGGCCTTGGGTATCCTTCCTTTTTGACTTCTTTTGACTTATTGGTGTTGAGGTTGCCTTGTATTTTAGCCAAGGGCGTCCATAAAGAAGCATCCTTTCTTCTCTCCTTCTTAAGACGGGTTCAGGTTCGTTCGTGGAGCACTGACGCTGCCCATCTGTGCTGTGCTGGGCCTGCCCCTGTCCGTGGCCTCCACGGTGCCGAGCATCACCCACGTGATCTCGTTGACCACTTACGAAGTGAAGCAACTTCCGGAAGGTGAGCGCAAGGTGCCTACGAAGGTGGTGGAGCAGCGTGCGACCAACTTCTTGTTTCTTAGTAGCTGAATGAGTACGCTTTACACGTGTTGGGATAATGTTACAGAACTGAAACTTACATGTCTTGAGCTTATGAACTTTCACAACTGA